ATTTTGCCAGTTTGGTGATGGAAATGGTACTTTGCTTTAATTTGCATTGTTAAATTAATCGTGAGTTTGAGTGTATCTTGCATCTTAACTTTTGTGTTATCATCTGGGAGTGACTTGTTCACATCGTTTATTCATTTTGTAATTTTTGGTCTTTTCCTTATTAATTTTGAAATCTTTTTATTACATAAAATAGACATGGACAATATCCATTTCAGTTTGACAGTCCCAAGTGCATTCTCAAATGTATACTTTTTTTTTTGGTACCAGGGATCAAACTCAGGTCCTTGTGCTTGCAAGGCAGGTGGCGGCACCACTGAGCTAAATCCCTGGCCTTCAAATGTACACTTTTTACTTTTGCTGGGTGGGCTTTGTTGTTGCCTTGACTTCTTATTTACAGAGCTATTCTAACCAGTCACAATTGTGTGTTTACTTTAGAGAAATCTCTGTATACCGATAAAAATGTAAGGCAAAATTAAAGCTTTAGGAATCAATACATTAGAAAAACATCAAATAGTAATATACATTTACCATTCAATACAATTTCATGTTTTGAGCATATAATCTTTCAAATTGACCAGGTTACTTTTTTTTTTTTTTTGAACTGGGAACCGAACTCAGGAACTCGCACTTCTGAGGCAGGCAGCGGCCCCACTGAGCTAAGTCCCTGGCCCTTGACTAAGTTACTTTTAAATCAAGTCATCAGGAGCTGACAGGAGCTAGACTAAGGCACGGTGAGCAGCTCCTGACAGGTCTTCACACATGGAACTGCTCCATTTTTCTCTTCTCTCCTGCTCCCATGGTCTGCCTGGTGACTGACAATCCACCCAACTCCTTCCCACTGAGAAGTCTCAGGAAGTTTATCCACCATTTCTACTCCCTGTCCAGTCCAGTGGTAAACCTGCCTCACCTTTTATAGCTGAGGGTTCAATTGTTTCCTGATAAAATTTCTATTTAAAGAAAGCTTCCGTTCTTGGAATATGAATCCATTATGATTAACAGAGTGTTTACTTAGGAAACCAACATATATATATATAATTTGAAAGGACAAAGCTGAATTTTAAAATCCCAAGTTGAAGTTGATAAGTCCCAAAAATCAGGAATGAAAGAAACAATTTTCAGAGATTTTCTCAATAAACAGAAAAGCTTGGAAATGAAAGCAATAAAAATGTATGAGGTTTGACTTCAAATGATGAAAAACAAACATTAAAGGAGGAACAAATTTGGAGTTAGAGATGATGCATTATATTTTCAGTACCTGAGGGGTGTGGTTACTTCTCCTACATTTTTGGAACCACTCAGCAAAAATGTCTGCCATACAAATAATAAAACTGAGTGTGTGGTGAATGAATGGATGGGTGGATGAATTTTATCAGGTGCAAATCCAAGGGGAAACATTGTATATGTTGATTATTTTTCCATCGTTACCATGACACGTCACGATTTATTAAATACTGGAGCTACGTTGTCTTTTCACCTCCATGAAAACTCGGAGGGAATATATTTGCTTCCATGTAGCTGAAGCAAAGAAAGATCAAAGAATTATTTACCCAGCAGCATAACTACCACTTTGATCCCGGATCAATGATTTGACAAAAATAGGAGACGAGTCCACGGCAGGGGTTGATTGAGATGCCACAGTTGAAATCAAAGCAGTGCAAAAGTTTAACAAAATAAGAACACACATAAGGAGAATAAATGAAAAGAAGTCCGTTGTAACGAATAGTCAATCTCAGAAACACAAAGGGAAGTGAAAAATCAGCTGAATATCTGGCGTCCACGTACCTGAGGTGGGAAGCTTACAATTCGCCCGGATAGGCTAAAACAGCCAAGGAAATGAATTGGCCAATGTGTCACTCAGACTTCAGGCACAGTTTAGTCCGGACGCTTCTGTGAGTCTGCGCTCTGCCTTCCTGCCTGAATGACCTCATCCACAGGCTTGATTTTCTGATGCTGAAAGAATGACTCGAGCCATTTCAAGTCTTATACTTGTATGGGTCAGTGCTGCCTAGCGAAACAGATTTCAGGCAAGATATACAAATACCTAAGAATTTACAAGACTGGTTTACAGTGGCCGCCCATAGGATTAAATGTGGAGTAGTGCAAAAGGGCTGTCTGTCTGTGTGCTAAAGATCGGAAGGGTCCAGTCAGAGGTGGAGCTCAGTGTAGTGTCCGTCCGTATCAGGAGGCCGAAGGGTCTGTGCTGGAGGCCAGGAGACGACGCCCAAGGTGAAGGCAGAGACTGGAGCTCCTCTGAAGACCAGAGCAGCCTCCCTCCTTCCTTTCCCGTTATACCAGTCAGCTGGCGAGCTCGCTGGTCACTATCACTCATGCCCAGTGAATCCCAGCAAATCTTGAGTAAATCCCTTCAGCCACACACAGAACTATGCTGTCCAGCTGAGCTGGGCATTTCTTTCTCAAGGGAACCAGTCAGCTGTCACAGGAGTGAATAACAATGACTAATAACAGAACGACTGTAGCAATGCCCGAATGTAGTTGCTCTCAAAGTATCTTACGTGCTGCGTTAGCCCCTCTTTTTGCGGTGCTGTGAGATGACAGATTGCTCCGTAACGGACGGAGTGAGGTGAGCGACACGCGCGTGGTGTAGTGTTAGGTTGGGCCGTGGGTGCGGTAGCGTGGAACCCTTCTAGAAAGTGTGTTAACCAGCTTTCCCATTGCTGGACACAACAGGTGACTCCATGACTTTAAGGAAGAGAGGTTTAATTTACCTCATGGTTTAAGGGGTTCAGTCCATGGCCCGCTGGCTCAAGGCAAAGTCAGGGAGCGGGGGCCTTGCCTTGGAAAGCTGCTCATCTCTGGGAGCACCCTGAGCGGCCGAACTCATCGATGGATCAGTGCACTGGAGAGTTTAGTGCCCCGTGATCCAGGCACCTTCCAGAAGCCCCATCTCTGAACATGTGAGAATGTGGGGGACACTCGAGGGCTAAATCATAGCAGAAATGTCCTTTGAACACAGGCTCTGATAGTCTTCCAACAGTCGACCCGACAGCCAAGACAACTGCTGGAGGAGTAAGAGGCAGGTCACACACACAGCGCGGGTACACCGGACAAAGATACGAGTCACTTCCTGGGCAAGGCGGGGCACAAAACTTCATTGCGCTGCTCAGAATGGTCACAATTTAAAACTTACGAATTGTTTGTGGAAGTTTCCATATATTTTTTTTGGACCGCGGTTGACCACAGGTAACCGGAACTGAGGAAAGCAAAGTCATTGATTTGGTGGTAGGGGTTACTGTGTTAACAAAATGTTGGATTCCAGCAGACAGTCAATGGCTGATGGATTGTGGCAACTGAAATCTGAGCCATGGCACCGGGGAACTGGTTTTATTTAAGCCACGGCAAACCAAGCTTTATGTATATCAGAGCTACAAAGCAAAGAGAAGGCTGCGTGGACTGTGCGTTGGCGGAAATCGGTTTTGTGTTTGCTCCTGCTGAATGACACAGTGCTATTACCAGCTAAGAACCATTTTTTTATTGTTAGTTTCTTGGATTGCAATTATAAGACAAGTAGAATCACGTCATTTAACTCTGAATTCAAGTGTGGGCTGATGTGATTACAATTTTTTTGCAAGGACAATTAGAAAGGAAAAGAAAAAACCTCTACCAAAGCCTAAGTTTTGGTCTACAAGATACTTAGTGGGTGGGGGAGCCTGCCTTCCTGGATGGCTTTTTCCTAAACCAATTTCATCAGTCGTCTGTAGAAGATGTCTTTCAATTTGCACATTTGGCAGAGGGATTGAGACGGGGTCTCACTATGTAGTTGAGACTGGCCTGGAACTCACTATGCAGCCCAGGCTGGTCTCAAACTCACAGCGATCCTCCTGCACATTTATTATACACATACTCTAGACAGAGCTTTTGGGAACTAACTCTTGACAATGTCCCGGTTATCTCAAATGTCAGTTTTCCATTTTCCTCTTTGTTTTCAATTTATTTGTTTTATTTCTTACAGAGTTCCTCATCTCATGCGTTCATTGTAGGCATATATAAATAATTTTTAAAGTGATCATTAATGGAGGATCTGTATGTTTTATTAGATTTGTTTTTTACTTCCTTGTATTCTACCTTGTAATAAAAAACGTCTTGCTTGTGGTTTATGTGTTTTCATACAAAAATCTAAGGATTAAGTGATAGAGCAATTCTTTTTTTATACCAGGGATCAAACTCAGGACCCTGCACTTGCAAGGTAGCAGAGAAGAGAAAGAAAAGACCGTGGGAGTGGAAATGAGGAGCAGCACAGATCAGATCAAAGGACGCTGATGCCACGTTGGAATTAGAGGCTCTCAAGCTCCCCCGCTCCGTCCAGGTGTCCGGCCGTGCAGGGCTGCTGCTGCCAGCCAAGAAGTCCCGGCAGGAGTTCCTCCCACTCCACGGCTGTCGATGTGAGAAGGAGGAAGACAGAGACTAGGGACAAGAGTGGGAGGAAATAGGGAAGCAGAGCCAAGGGGAAAGAGGTGTGGGGGCCACGGGAGGCTGTGGGCAGACCGTGCGTGGGTCAGCGTGCGGCGGGCAAACGCCACCCGTCCTGGGAGAGGCTCTTCTGCCGGGACCGAGCAGCCGGGGCATGAGGGGTGAGGTGGGGAAGAGGAGGCCGTGAGGACACTGAAACAGCACAGATGGAGGGAGCAGAGGAGGCCTCGCAGCTCCGGCTGTTTACTTCACAGATGAGGTTCTAGACCCGGAGAGCAGAGACCTTCACATGTCACATGCCACTTGTTCCGAGGGTGGTCGATGAGGTGACACACACAGCATGGGGCTGGGCGAGGAGAGCGACGGACAGCTGTGTGAGGAGGGAATAACTTCAGTTCAAAGCTGGAGGGGAAATGAGAGATCATACAGGAGGCCCAAGGCTAAGGAAGCGGCAGATTTTCTCAGTTGCCATCAGAGGCTGGGGGAGGAGACTGCGGGTAGGAGAAAACTGTACCCACAGGAAAGAGTGAGCTTGCTGAGATCAGACTTCAACAGCCAGCTTTGCGGAGAGAAGGAGCCGTCTCCAGATGCTGTTTTCACTCCTTCCGCTGCTGGCTGTTCTCCTGGCAGGCAGTGACCACGCACGCGGTAAGAACATCTCTGCGAGCTTCCCAGGTGGGTGGGTCAGGGTGGAGGGCTGTGGGCCCTCCCAAGATGGGCTACTTAGAGTTCTAGAAGGTTTACGATGTGAAAAGCCGTCTCCAGGTGTAGTATATTAGTATATTCTTTTGGAGGTGTTGTAAGGGCAGGGGCCCTTTGGAAGAAAACTGTCATCATGTCAGCTAAGCATTATGCTCCTCTGGGAAACAGCTCACTTCCCACTCTCTCTCTCTCTCTCTCTTTCTCCTGCCTCTTCTGTTTGTTTTACATGACTCGACCTTCTTCTGCAGTGGTCCAGGAACACACCTTCCAAGCAATCCAGATATCATTCTATGCCAACCAATCATGGGCACAGAATCAGGGCTCTGGTTGGCTGGGCGAGCTGCAGACCCATGGCTGGGAAAGTGAATCAGGCACCATCGTTTTCCTGCACCCCTGGTCCAGGGGCAACTTCAGCAATGAAGAACTGGGCGACCTGGAGCTGCTGTTTCGTTTCTACTTCATTGGATTAGCTAAAGAGGCTGAAACCTATCACAGTCAATTACAGATCAAATGTAAGTGCCATCGACTCATCTAAAAGATTTCCTGCAGGTTCTGTTTCTGGGAAATATTCTCTGCTCCTCGCTGGGACATTTCCATCTTCCCATCGCACCATCAAAGTCTGCACGCAGACTTGGGATATTTCAAGTAGTGACTCACAATCTCCAGACTTCAGCTGCTCCAGGAATATTTTTTCCCTGAGCTTTGTCTTCTCTCCTCTTGGATCCCTTTCTGTGGTGTACAATCCAGGGGCACACAATCACCTCACACTGATTTCCTTAAAATACAAGTCTTCAGTATCTCCAAAGCTCTACGTCCACAGTCTACCAACTGTGGTGGCCGATTTAATGCATCATGAAAAGCTGAACTTCCCTCTCCTTCCCACAGGCCCTGCCCACACCCTCCGGTTTATAGTGTGTGGCACCCTTGCCACTTCCCCAAACTGTGCTCAGCCCAATATCTTGTCCGTTGAACTGTTTATTTCTTATTGGCCGCGTTCTCCATCCCCAGAAACTTTTCCTGCCTTTGTTTCTCATTGAATGTATCTTTGGCTCATTCGCACGCCTTTCTGAAAACGTTTTATTCCACTTCCGATGAGTCCCTCAGGCTCCCACAGTCGCCTGTTCTCTGCATCGGAGCTCATTTTCTCCTTCCTTCCCGCCCCCAGACCCCTTTAACGTGCAGGTGAGGGCCGGCTGTGAGCTGCGCTCTGGTGAGAGACCAAAAAGCTTCTTGCAGGCGGCTTTTGAAGGTTCAGATTTCCTGAGTTTCCAGGACATGGTGTGGGTGCCGTCTGCGGAGGGCGGCGGTCAGGCCCAGAAGGTCTGTGACCTGTTAAATCAGTACGAAGGCATCAAGGAAACAGTCAATAACCTCATCAGGAACGTGTGTCCCCGGTTCCTCTTGGGTCTCCTGGATGCAGGGAGGCTGGATCTTCAGAGACAAGGTCAGTTTAGCTCTCTTCTCCGAGATTGTTTGTTCAGGTCGCGCCCTTCCTCCGCCGTCCTGAGCGCAGGGAAGAGGACCGAGGGGAAGTTGCTAGTGGAAGAAAAGGGTGACCAGGCCCTGACGAGGAGACCTGGGGGGCCCCTGACCGCCCGCTCCGCATCCGAGCCCCTTCGCTC